TTTTAATGAAACTTTTAAAGAGAACTATGCAGAAACCTAATTAGTTTTGGTAAATATTTATGCTTATTAATCACGTAATTAACATAATTAATTAACACTGATATTTCAATTAATGATCATCACATTGAATAAAATTTGGTACATAATTGCTCTAGGACAATAGACAGGCTGATTAATTTTGATTAATATTAATTCTCTAATTAGCATAATAATTCATAATTTTTTTGTTCTGTTCTGTTCATATTAGTTACCTGATTTACATAATTAGTTTTCAGCTTTTCCATCAATATCTCATGTACAAGTAATTTTGAATTAATTTTAATGTTTCTTCAATACTCTCAGCACACGTGAGTTCTTTCTAAACTTCCTTTGATTTATTCAATTCTTTTGTTATTCAGTTGTGGGACTGGGACATGTGGATGAGATTACCAGATATCCGGAAGAATAGAGAATGTGTGGTTCCAGATATTTCAAGAACTTATCATTTTGGTTCAACAGGAATAAACATGAATTCATACTTTCAGGTGAGTTTCATATTATACCATAATAGTTATGGATACTGTCACCATGGTGATAACATGTGATACATGTAAGCTTGATGATATGGTATGTCTATGTATTGTAAAAATAAATTTCTTACTTTCTCTCCAACTTAGGATTTATATTTTAAGAAACATCCTCTCAACACAGTTCCACATGTCAAACTTAAAAACTTAAAGGCACTGAAGAAAGATGCATATGAAACTGAGATGAATGCGTTAATCAGCAAAGCAACAGTACTAGATCACACTAAATCACCATGCAAGGAAGATTTTGTCCCCGACACTACAGGGGAGACTTATGTCATGTACATAAAAATGTCACATGAACAAGATTATGAAACTTGGACAGAGTTAGCCAAGGTGAGTGGAACATGTTATGAGATTAATGTTCATGAAGGTTCAATGTTGTTATGCTCTTTGTTACCTTCACTGATGACACATTAACAGTTTATTTTTTGTCAAGCTTGGAACAAACTTTGGATGATATTGGACAATGCATGTTTTTTGGATCAGATTGAAAAATAAAAATCAGAAAAGTACGATTGATAGTTTAAGGTAGCGAGACTATTATTTGTGTTGAAAATTACAATTTTCACATTTATTTATTAATTGATGAAATGCACTATAAACTTTCATATGATAAAGTCAACATAACATAGAATGTCATGTAAGTTGGTTAAAATGTATATTTTCTGAAGGGAAGCAAGGCAGCC